TCCCCCAACACAGTAAATATATATATATATATATATATATATATATATATATATATATATATATATATAATATTTCGTTCACACTTGCACAGATAGGCATCACCTTCTCAATGAATCACACCAGGTCTGAGGTCAGTGATGTCATGATAATATTTGATTGATTGAATCATAATTTTTTTAATTCTCAAGCAAGAATGAGATACGAGAGATGGCAGAAGGGCAATTAAGTATTTCCCTTTTCATTGCTTGAACATCCTTTCATTTTCATTGAATGATAAAAGAGCAGCACACTTTCTGAAAAACATCTTTTGTTTCAGTTTCGGACCAAAATGAGAGCGAGTCAATTTCCTTAAAACAGTTTTACTTTTGATACTACAATATTAGGAGACCCACCACAAAACACCTTTGAAAACGAACTGAATGGACACAAAGTATTGTGAGGCAGTTTTTTTTTTATTCTTTTGTATGGGGAACTTCATTGTAAAAAGACCATAAACTCTGCCCCAGCTTAACAACAACTATTGTACATTTCTAAATGTTTGATGCAAAGGCAAGGACAGCTACTGTTGCGATATATTTTATTCACGAAGACTGAGTAAAATTAAACCAAGCAATTTTAAAATAAAAACACTACTAAAATGATGCATAAGGTTAACGATACCAGATAATACTGAACTGTGAATAAGCAAGCAATTTCCCTAATTAAACTGTGACAAAAAAGGATTTAAAAAAAAAAACCACACAGAGAAATGAAGTTTGCTGTAAAGAAGAGAAATGCAGGGCAGAACATTTAGACAATTTTCAGTCTATTTTTGTCTTATTTTCAAGAAAAATATTTAAAAACAAGACACCGTTTTGCTTTTAAAAAAAAGTAACATTCTGACTTGTTTTCAGATAATATATCTTGAATTCGGTTTATTATCTTACCTCAACCACAGATTGTCTCTTGTTTATAGCGCAGATCTAACAATTTAATTGTCAGTGGGGTAAAAAAAAGAAAGAAAACATTTAACTCAAGATATATTCTTGTTTTAAATATGTTTAGATAGACTGGAAAACAAGAAAAAAAAAAAAAAATCTTTTTTTTTTTTTTTTTTTAACTTAGGACCGAGACCTTGAGCGGGACCGAGACCGGGAATAAGATCGCGAGCGTGAATGTGAGCGAGATTTGGATTTGGATCTGGATTCCCTCCGCAGATCAGCATCTGGTGGCGTTTGTGATCTGGACCGAGAATGAGCTCTAGAGCAATGCGCCCTTTCAGCCACACGGCCTTCATCGCCGCTCTTGGTTGCCTCCTGAGATCTGGACCCAGACTCTCTGGAGAGATCCCTGTCGTTTCCCGATTTGGATCGAGATCTGGATCTGGATCGAGAATAGGACCGATCTCTCTTGTTCTCCCGTTTTCCCTTTTTGCTCGGAGGGCTGCAGCTCGTGCTATTATCTCTAGCGCTTTCACCTCCCCTGCGAGCTCCATTACTGCTCTCCTCCATCCTACTGCTCCTGCCCTTCGTCTTCTTGCTGGTTGACCTGCTGCGTGATCTCGAGCCTGAGGCTCTGGAAAGGAGAGAAACCGTTTAAGAAATATACACCAAATCAATATATTTTAGCACCTTTGAAGCCACAAGAACTTCTATTTTTATAATAGCAATTACTGCCCTCTAGTGGACTCATACATCAAAACTGTACTTACACTACTGTCATAAGAGAATATAGAAACATGAATGTGAGAATTTGTAGGGACACACCTAAATGTCAAGTATATAAGAGCTGTGCATGCATGGCCACAAAATAAATGGCAAAAGGTGTTCCCTAGACGACCATTGAGTGCATTAACATGCTTAAAAAGAACTGCTGTACAATGTCCTATGAATGTATCTAATTGCACACAATCAACCACAGCTTTAAATGTTTTCTACAACACAAAGTCATATTTACTTTCTCTTCAAGTTCACATAGTGGATAAGTGAAGTCTTAATTCAGTTGTGTTTGCCTACCTTGAGCGGCTACTGGTTCGGCTGTGGCTTCGGCTCCTGCGAGACCTCCTGCTCCTGGAGCGAGACCTGAGGGATGTGTACAAGAAGCAAGACACTTTAAACACGTGTTCTCTGTGAAACTCTAAAGCAGCTTTTACTACAAGCAAAGTTTGTTTAGCCAATCACTAATTTCAGACATCGAGGTACATGACGACTCGTAACGAACGAAAAGTCTCACTTAATTATCAATTAAATGTCTCCCACTTTTACAATATCATTCAATAATAAAATTGATTTGTTAGCACCTGGAGGCGCTGCGAGAGTAGGAGCGGCGGCGTCTGGCACCAGGCCGGTCCTCGATGAGCCGGATCTTCCTTCCATTGACCTCAGTACCGTCCAGTTTCTCCAGGGCTCTTTTCATGTCTGAGTACTGCCTGAACTCAATGACCCCCTCGTTCTTGCGGCCCTTGTTAGTGTCGGCATAAGTCACCTCGCCAGCCTGACGCATGTAGTCCTGTGAATCCATGACACATTAGTGACTCAAGAACAAATCACTTACGTTTACAGGAATTACTTCCTAAATGCTTAAAATACATAATGGTTTAACCCTTGTGCATCCTTAGAGTCTTTGTTTTGTTTTTTTTGGTTGTGTTAATGCAAAAAGCAAACATTTTGCCAAAAATGTGTGTTCATTGGAATTTTAATATTTCACCATTACTTCCTTTCATAAACCTATTTTATACTAGGTACAAAACAAAAATATACTTAGGGCCTTAAAGGAACACTCCACTATTTTTGAAAATAGGCTCATTTTCCAACTCCCCTAGAGTTAAACAGTTGAGTTTTACCGTTTTCGAATCCATTCAGCCGATCTCCGGGTCGCTTAGCTTAGATCATTGAATCTGATTAGACCGTTAGCATCTCGCTCAAAAGTGACCAAAGAGTTTCTATATTTTTCATATTTAAAACTTGACTCTTCTGTAGTTACATCGTGTACTAAGACCGACGGAAAATGAAAAGTTGGGATTTTCTGGGCCGATATGGCTAGGAACTATACTCTCATTCCAGTGTAATAATCAAGGAACTTTGCTGCCGTACCATGAGTGCAGCAGGCGCAATGATATTACGCAGCACCTGAACTACTTGAACAACTTGAACAACTTTAAAAGCAGTGCTCATAGCCTAATTAACGTTACGCATTTTAAGTAACGACCAAGTGGCCAGTGGCAGACAGTGAGCATATGCTTGATCAATTTAGCCTTCTCAAATCATCACGACTTGACTAAAATAAAATCTATAGATATAAAACAGTTCAAGCATATAACAATGTTTAGACGTTAAAGCTAGCTAAATGTGCGCTGTATCCAATAGTTTGCGCAGAGAGTGGAAGCTGAAGCACGCTTTGCAGGACATCGAGGCGCCAGCGCGATCACTTGCATTTTTTTTCAGTGGATACACCGTAATTTTTGCTCATAAAGGTAAGAGTAATACGTCATTCTTAACTGTAAAGGGTCTACTTTTATTTGTGTGCACTCACAATATCAACAAAACGTTGTGCTTTTATAAAATAAAGAAATCAAACATGATGCGCTTTCTGCCGTCTCTTCAACAGGAGCGCTTCACAAAAATGGACCGAAACTCAGCGAATACATGCCTCACAGACATGATAAATATATCTATAGAAAGCTTTAAATTACTACTTAACGAAATAAAACATTCATTATGATCATAATCCGTAAAGATGCACTTCTCTCTAAAGGTGCGTCTAATGAAGAGATGGCGAGTCAGGATCGACAACTTCATCCTTGCGACACCGACTCAGAAAACACTAGTTTATTAGTAAATAATTCAAATATCTCCTTACTGTTTCCCCCTGACGCATTTATGGTAATTACTTTTCCCGATGCTTTGCAGCAAACTTAAGCCTATTGCGTGCATTTAAACGCAGAACTCTTCAGTTGCGCTGACTGCACGCATGCTGCTACTGCTGGACACTAGACACCATCGAGCACGGTCTCGTGTTGTTTCCACCAGCGCGGCAATCTTTTTTCATCACTAATTGATGGATGTCTAAAATATAAAAATAAGGAGAAGCCTAAAACAGGCCCGAGGCCCTGCCCTATGAACTATGACGTGAAAATTGTCCCGAAGCCCAGCCCGAGGGGCGTAAAAAAGTCGGGGGCCTCAGGGCTCTAGCTCTGATCT